TTTGATGATTTTACCACCATTAGAAAGAGGAAGATTTTCTCTGCAATTTTTATTAAAAAACCAAAAGATGCTAACTTGACAGAAATCGAGAAATTTTAATTTTGGCTCCAGATTATGAATATTGATTGTTTTGATACGAAATGCATACCACCAATCATTAATCATAGTCTTTCCCTTACTCACAGATTACGAATTAAGATAAGTTAACAATAATACCTGCCCGTAATTTATTTTCAATATGCTATTTCATTTAACGCAAACTATAAAAACGAATTTTTACTTACTATGTTTTTGGTATTTAGGTACGAAAAATGAACACTAATGATAGCACCACCCCCAAGACCAACAATACCATCACCCCCAAGACCAACGATGATAATACCCTCAACTGCTTTGTTCATAAAGAGACCATCAAGGATATTTTTCCTGTGGCTGTCGATAATACAATGGATGTTAAAAAACTAAGAAACGAGATCAAAAGAGTCTGACCAAATTTATCTCAAATTAATTTTGATTTATACGAAGTACATGATTTTAATCCTAACTATAAAATAATCTTTGATGTAAATAGTAAAGATAGTTCTGAAGAAGAGAATATGTTCATGGATCCGATTAAAAAAATTAAATTACCATTACGTGGTTGTATAGGTGCATGCATATGTATCAAGACTTTTGATAATAATAAAATGACTTCGCTTAGCTAGATGCTAAAAACATAACTGAGGTGTCGTTGTATGGTGGCAGAACAGCGGACCATTGCAAAGAAGTGAGCCTACTGAACACACTATCTTTTCAACGAATTCATTACGTCGCCACACAACTGTTCAATGATAGACCTAAGTCTAACCCTTGAACATCGATTACGATACAGAGTCAAATGTCGAAACACAACAGAAATATCACCACAGATGAGATCAGGTCGTTACGTAGTGGCAGTGGGGCGGGCTATTGCAAAGAAGTGAGCTATGCTAACCAAAACCATCTTTATCAATGAAGCATTAAAGTGCTAGCGTCACCACGCAAACATTCAATGATGTTCACCCTTGATACGCCGGTCGTTTTCAGACCGGAACACTGACAATTTGCAAACGAAGTACAAGGTTAAGAATTTTTGGACAGAAGCTTAAAAAATACCTGTTCGACCAATCAGATCGCAAGATCAGGTGTAACACGTATTATGTGAAATCAAAACAATCGTTCCTATTTAAGGGAACAGGAGGGACCGTCCCAAATAAGGAAATGATGATCCTGATCATGCATATTGGTTTAGCCAATCAAAATTGTAAATCTTTATCATGCGAAAAGTATCACGTG